GAGTTAAATTGTCCTCAAAGCAGGAAAAAAAACCCCAGAACCGTGGTCGCTGTAAACCTGTGCAATTGTGCTGAGTTGCACCATCCAAGGACCTTGTTTGTTTTAAAAAAAACATTTGATTCCATCCTTCAAGAAGTAATCCAAGTGCATTGTAACTGCTTTTTTCTTATTTTAGGTATGTTTCCATAAAGCCTGATAATAGAAAGCTGATTAACGGTACTAATGTGCTAGGCCTGCTGCTTGACACTTTACTCAAGGATGGATTTCGCCTCATAAGCACCAGGACAGTCTCCAGTGAAGAAAAAATCGAATGCTACAGTTTTGAAAGGATGAAGAGGCCAGCAGGCCTTACTGTCGTGGTGAAGCAAACCCCAGGGATCTCCGGGGTAGCACAGGCAAAGAGAAGCCAGGTGCAGAGAGGGAAATAAAGCCTTTTCCTGTCCTCTTTTGAAGGTGGAAGAGGGGTGTGTCAGCAGTAGTGGCCTTTTTTTGTTGGCTTGTTTGAAACTGCAACTATTGAGGGAAGTAACAAACATACAATTTTTTTTCAAGTATTTGGGAAAAAAAATTGCTTTCCTGCCTTTCAGCACCCCACCCTCTTCAACTCTAAATAAAAGAACCACAGATTCAATATTGGTTTTGTGGACCAGATTCCAGCAGTTTCAAGGGTTGTTTTTGGTTTTCTCTGTGGCTAAAATTCATATGAGGACTCACAAAAAATCAGCCATTCCTTCTAGAAAATAGTTTTTATGTTCTGTGCTAATCCATAAGTAGATTTTAAATACATGATAATACATGAAGAAATAACAGCTTGACACAACTGTCATCCCAACCATTTGGGAGAAGTGGCTGGAGGAGGAATGCAAACCTCGACGATTGACTGTTGCTTCTACTTTCAAAAATACACGTGCACGAATTCTCTTGCAATTGACTGAAAGCAACATGATGGAAACATCCCAAGTTGTATTGCTGCATGGCTCCAGATGTGAGAATGTGGCTTTGTGAAGCCACCACCAGTGTCCAGTTACTGTCTCTTGCAGAATACTCCTCTGTCCTCTCCTCCCACTCTGAAGGTGTTAAGCTGCTCTTCAGTGCTGAGAATTAAATGATAAAGATCTTTGTGAACAAAGGGTCAGTTAATTTTTAGAGTTTTAACTATAAAAAGAATGACAATGTGATGAACAGTCCTTCAGATGGAAGGGTTAGCACAATTTTGAACAAAATATTACAAAGGACTTCTTTTAATGTTTGTTAAGTGCAAAACGTACCTAGGAGGTAGCTTTAAAAGCCTTTGGAGTGCTAACCCTGTACAATGCTTTGTAAAGATGCCAAAATTAGCTCAGGTACCAGGAGAGGTAAATTATGAGGCCTTATAAATTAAGAAACTTTTGTCCTCCCTTCAAGGCAGGGAAAGAAGTTGGCAATAACTTCAAGGATTCATTACTTGAATCTGACTTTTGTCGCTGATAAAACACCATCTTTCCAGAGTTACAAACAGCCAAGCACAGCTTGTTTGGGCTTTCTTGGCTGACTAATTAGATCTGGCTTTTCATTAGCTTTAAAATGTGAATTTATTACTTTATTTGCAGCACTTGAAAATGGGAATGGGTGGTGGGAATCACCCCTCATTTCCTTGCCCTTAGGGGTTTCAGTGAAATGGATCTTCCCGGACTGGTGGTGCCACTATCAGACATCTCTTTTCTTTTGCTACCGCTGTAGTGCATTTTAGCTTGACACAAGTTCAGAAGTTCAGTGGCAACAAGGAGGTCCTCTTTGCTTGTGCTAGAGCTTTCAGGGTGGAGAATAACAAGATTATGGGACTACATCTCCTAAGCTGCTTACAGGTTATAAAGTAATAAATGTTGAGGAACTTAAGAGTGGGTGCTTTGAGTTCAAATGGGATTTTTTGTCAGTAATGTCAATATGTTCATATTCGTCTTGATATAAGATGATTTTTATAGTGAGAACCGTAATTCACTGGAACAACCTCCCCAGGGATGTGGTGGAGTCCCCATCGCTGGAGGTTTTCAAGACGCGACTGGACAGGGTGCTAGGTAATCTCACCTGGACTCCCTTGCCCACAAAAGGTTGGACCAGATGATCTTTCAGGTCCCTTCCAGCCTGGGCTGTTCGATGATTCTGTAAAGACCTTTTGTGAAGGTCTGTGCCAGAAGGCTTATCATGGTGGACTTTGGGGTCAGACTGCTAATGACAGAGCAGACCAGCTGTATGAGATGACTGTCCCGACAGGTTGCTGTACTACAAAGACAACGCTGCTTGTTTTCTGAGTTCATTTTGAGGTCCATGTACTGACTTTCCAGAAAAGTTCCCATTCCTCAAATTGGGATAGAACAGAAACCAATAATGACAGGTATTGAGCGAGTCAGTGACCGAATATTGTTGGTGAAGAGGCTTACCAATAATAGCAAGAAACACAAAAGTGACAACTTTTTACAAGGAAAGGAAAAAAAATTAACTTGAGGTTGTATTTAAACATCATGCCTTAAATGATTGCTGAGAGCAGCAGTATAAAGTAAGACTAGTTTCAGAATCCCTTGTAGTAACAAAATGAGGCTACTTCACCTAGAGCAGTAGTAGTGAGTTTGTTCTCCTTGCTGTAGTAGCCACTTTGAAAATTGAAGTTTGGATTACTTTTTTTTTAAATAAAGTGAAAGAAAATATGAAATATTTCCATGAAAAAAAAAATGGAGTTTTACCCTATGCCATCTGTATTGGCTTTGTGTGGCGAGGATTTTGGTAGCAGGGGGCTGCAGGGGTGGCTTCTGTGTTGGTTTATTTTAATTTAATATTAACTAAAAATTTAGTTAATATTAAATTAGTTATTAATATTATTAGTTAATTAAATAATTAAATTAATCATTTACCATGATTAATGATCAGGTAATCATTACTCTACGCTCCTACGCTGATTTCAACTGGCAATAAATTAAATTAATTTCCGCAAGTCGAATCTGTTTTGCCCGTGATGGTAATCGCTGAATGATCTCCCTGCCCTTATCTCGACCCACGAGCCTTTCGTTGTGTTTCCTCTCCCCTGCCCAGCTGAGGAAGCGGGTGACAGAGCGCCTTTGGTGGGCACCTGATGTCCAGCCAGGGTCAACCCACCACAGCATCACTCGTGATCCATGGCTTTGACAAAATGAATATTTGGTACAACCATTTCAGTACCAACTTCTGGTGGGCTAGCGCTGAATACTTTCTGGTTACCCTCATGGGCTAATTTTTATTCAGCACAAACATCATTTTATGAATGTAAGATTTTGGCTGTGTAAAAATACACCAGTGCACATTCCTGTCCCGTAAAGAACCATACATGCTTTACCTTGACCTCGTGTAACAGTGTAGTCTGAGACTATGCATCTTTTTGAAGCAAAGCACAAGACTGTCAGCAAGTTTGGATTCCCAGAGTTCTTCTAGCATTTATTCTTGTTTAGCACTGAGCTGAGAAGTGTCACCTTCTGTCATTTGTGCACCTGCAGGGAACATGACTAGGTTCTTACACAATGCTTTTGTTTTGTTTTATTTTTTTAAACTGATAGTTGCTTAAGTAGGTTTGAGAGCATTCGTGTGTGTCGGTAACCTGACAGAAATTTGGTGAAAATGTCTAACTAAGACCAGTGGGATAAGCATGACTTTCAGCTGAAGATAATTTGGTATGAAGCTGGTTCTTCAAAGGAGAACGACCTCCTGGATTTCTTTATACAGAAAGTGGAAGCGGCGACGGCAGAACTACAGGTGTTGTAGCTTCAAGCTAAAAGTATGTTCGTTTGCAGAAAAATGAATATAAAAATAGCATCAATGTTCTAGGAGGCTCTTCAGCTGGCCTGGGTAGCTGCTGCCCTCCACCTTGAAAGATTATGAAGTTACTGTAAAGTGTTGTTGAACCAGGATGGGAATTTTTCTGTCCCCTCTTTGGAGGGGTATGCAGCACATCCCACAGCCACTGAGGCAGTTGTTTAGAAGTAGCGGCCAATATTTTTACTGTGCCTTCCCTTCTCAGGTCCCAAACAGGCAGCGATGCAGCAGAGGGCAGACTGCGTTGTGTATGATCAGCAGAGTGGTTCACGCTGGTGCATTTCCACAGAAGATAACAGCTGTACAAGTAGAAGTGAATTTGGCTGATGGGAGCCCAGATTAGCTACAAGTCTGAGTGATTTTAAAAGCCTTCTGGCCAAAACTAGATTATGTGTTAAACCGAGAACTTTCACCCAAATCTTGGCAGGCAAGTCAACTCCAGTATCTCACAACATGATCTCTGCTGGACTAGAAATGTATTGTAGGTGACTTTCTCATGCTTTTGCATACAGCAGAACCAGGAGCTCTGATTGCTCACATCTAGCTCTATTTTTTATTAAATAGGTATGGGATTTTGAAACATTTAGACATTTTTTTCCAGTGAAGTTGGAATTTATGATCTCTGACATGATCCACTTCTTCAAGTCATTACCAACTTTCCTCAAGAGAATTCCTTTTTCCTGGGAAGGTGTAAAATTTGCTGATTTCAGTAAACTTACTTGCCGTTTTATTCTTGCTTGGATTCAGCAAAGACAGACATGCAAACTGTTCCACTGCCCGAGATGCTAGAAAGTGACTGCTGTAGTGCTGGGAGGCAGCCCTCTCACTCGCTCACAGTGAGCAGTGAGCTGTGAGCTCTCTTCCGCTTTTTAACACACAAGCGGACTGCCAGAACAGTAAGATCGCTAGAGGCAAAGGAAACTAAACAGTAAGATAACACCATCATTCTGTCCTACTTGGGCTGAAGTTTACATGGCAGAAGTAGATTGCCTAAAAAGAGGTGATAGCTTGCTAGATTTGCAAAAGGCAGATAATTCAGAAAGACACCACCTCATTTGTCTTGTATTTTCTTTCTTATTTTAGAGTCACTTTTCTCACCTTTACCATCGCATTTCATCCCGTGTTTCTATACTGCAGACTGTCAAGGGCGTTATCAATACATTCTTGTGGTGCCTGTTTGATATCCCAACAGGACAGAGGCACCACACTTTTTCCACCCCTGGGTTCTTGCACCATCTTGACTTCCTTTCATAGTAACTGATTACATGTTTGTACTTTTTAGTAACTTTTTGTCTGCTTCTTCCACATACTGGGAAGTTCTCTTATGTCCTTGTTATCTCTTTTTGGGGGCATGTCATTTATTTACCACCTGAATTGTTCAGGAATCTGCTGATACCAGGGAGGAGAGAGTCTGACACAAAACACCTTCCTGTTCTTTGGGTATTGATTTCAATACAATTCATGAGGGTTTTTATTCTTTTAGGAAGTGCGGTCACTGCTTTCTTATAGGTTCTACAGTCAGTGCTCGTAAGTTTGTATAACTGATTAAGAATAGATGTTTAAATAAAGGAAATTGATACTATGCTTAGACTAAAAAAGACTGATCTCTTAG